GAGTTCAGTTCAGTGTATATCTGTGGATGTCTGTCTCTGCTTCCATCAGCCACTGGATGGGGGCTCTAGGATGGCATAAAAAGTAGTCATCAATCTCCTTTTAGGGGAAGGGCAGTCGCAGGCAGGTTATCCTCTCCACCATTGCCTGGATTGTCAGTTTGTATCATCCTTGTAGGTCTCTGGAAATCTCCCTCATCCCAAGCTTTTATGTGTGTGCTAGGGTTCTGAACTCTGGTTCTCATGATCATGTGGCAAGTATTTTATTGAGCATTTTCTCAGGCCCTTTTGATTAATTTTAATCTATTCTGTTACATGATGTTTGGTCAATAGAAATGGGATCCAAGGCACTAGCAAGTTGGCTTGTCAGGAAAAGACACTTGCTGCCAACCCTACATCAATTCCTTCAGGTTGTCCATTTGTTGTTTATTCAGAGCTAGTTTTTTAGTATCATATTTGTTAGATATTTTTTATTTGTTCCCAAATATCCCACAATTACCTAAGAAGAAAGTCTCAATGATGTATTTTCTCAATACGTTGGTCTGTGGCTATGCTGAGTATTTTTAAATTGGGCTAATTGAGGTGGAAGAATCAGCCCACCTCAAACCTTCTAAATAAGAAAGGATATAGTCTAAGGGTGTCTTAGGCAATGGGTGCTGACTCAAGGGCTGTGTTCAAGATGAGTTCTCTCCTTTCTAAGCCAGCAGCATGATTCCTGGTAGATGGTCAGAGTAGAAAAAGGGGAGAAATCCTCTTAGGGGGAGAATATAATGTGTCTCATACATGGACCATTTTTCCCATTATATAAATACTTTCATCCTGTTTGCTCTTCATGAATCTTGGGGTTGGGAAGGCAAAAGTGAGACAGATAGAATTCTGTGGTGCCCCCTGGCTCCCACAATGAGACTTTTGCTATGGTGCAACCAGTTTAATTCACTTCAGGACAGAACATAGTCTTAATTCCTGCTAGGCAAAGATTATGCAGGGCTAGCTGATCAGCTGTAAAATAAAATAGGCAAAAAGAAGATGATTATTATATACTTCCTATATTGCAGTTTCTAAAATAGGCAGATACACAAAGGCAATAAGTAAACAAAAGTTGGCAGAGGTTGGAGAAGGGGAAATAGATAACTACCACAAAACTCACAGAACACAAAACTAACTGGCATCAAAGTACTAATTTGCTTCAACTGACTCCTGAAGGGCCAAATATCTAAATCAGAATCTAAGCCATGTAGGCTAGCTTGGAGGTTGTGGTTATGAGCACAAGCTTCAGTAATATCTACCATTGCCTAAGTTAGGATTTCTATTTCTGTGATAAACACAATGTCTAAAAGTAACTTGGAGAGGAATGGCTCTTTTGGGCTTACACTTCCAGGTAATAGTTCAGCATTGAGGGAAGTCAGAGCATGAACTCGAGGCAGGAAACTAGAGGGAAGAACTGAAGCAAAGGCCATGAAGGAGAGCTACTTACTGACTTCTTTCTCCTGGCTTGCTCAACCTGCTTTTTTACACCTTCCAGGTAGCACCACCCACAATGGGCTGGGCCTTCCCACATCAAAGCATAGCTTCCAGGGAGAGAGAGTAAGTAGGAGGAGGAATTTAGGCTCAAAGAAAGAAAAAGAGATCCCGGGTAGACAGCAGCGGCCAGCCAGTCAGAAATGGAGGAAGCAGAAAAGTAGGACATACAGAATGAAAAGGTAAAGTGCCCTGAGGCAAAATGTAGATTTCATTAAGAAAATGCCCCCACAGTCTTGCCTACAGTCCAGTGCAGCCATCTTATGACCTTCCTGCCCCCCCCTCCTCCCTCTCTCTCCCCTGCGATGGCCTCCTGAGTATTGGTATTGCAGTTAAGCCACCATGGCACTCCCTTCTTTGACTCTGTCACTTTCTGCAGCAATGTGATTTGGGGAAAGTTTTCTGACCTCACTGAGCTTCGGCTTCCTCAACTGAAAAATGGAAACAGAATTACTTTACTTCTAAGAGTGAATATGAAGACCCGACTAGAATGCAGTGTTGCATTTCTGCCTGATGCAGAGGAAACCCTGATATTGCTTTTATTATGTCTCTTGTTTTTATTGGGTGACAAGTCTTTGAAAAGCTGATAAGAATCATGAATAATATTCAATATCAGGGCACAAATCCAAGTTACCTCATAAGTATGGAGTTTGACCAAAAGGCCATATGTTGCAGAATGTTTAACTAGGCAAAGATGCGTTGCATTAGTTTAACTATGTCAAGATGTGTTGCATTTGTTTAATTATGTAAATTTAGTAATTAATAAGTCTTCATGTCTTTATTTGGGAGCTGATTGGCAGCACAAAGAAAATTCTAACTATAGCCATTGGTAAGGGACACTTAAGTCTGTAGTGCCTCCCCAGATAGAGGTCAACTCTAGGGCCATATTCCTGTCAAGAAAACACCACTCTGCAGCAGGCACATAGCAAGCACCCATATAAATAATAATAATAATAATATATATATATATATATATATTTTGGATGACAATATACACTTTTGCTAATTGAATTTCTATACTTCATTCTCACCATCCCCTACCTATGCTTTTACTTATTAAATTTCAAGTCTTTCTAGGAATTAAGCTTAGGTTACCTTGATTAATATTGAGCATTATAAACCTTTCTCATGCTTTAGTGCCACCTCTAAAAATGTGTAAATCAGAAATACTTCTGTTAAGATGAATGCATAGGAATACTCACATAATAAGAAAACAAAATAGAACTCACCAAACCATAACATATAATCTACAAGAGCATTTAGGCTAGAAATAGAAATTTATGGAACTTTAAATTTGGACGTTAGAAGCATTTGTAAGATGTTAAAGCCAAAGGACTGAGATCACTAAGAGAGTGAGTACAGATAGGAGTGGGGTGGAAGACTGAGCCTATGGGAGTCCAGGGTTGGGAGTCACAGACATAAGGAAATATCTAGCAGAGAAGACTGAAAGGAGCAGAGACAAGCAGGGGAAGAAAAGCAAGAGAGTGCAATGTCTGAGGTGCATTGCTGTGACAACTCGCTGATGGGCAAAAAACATGACCCCTGAGATTGCCATAGGATCACATTGTATTTAGCTTTGCTGAAGTTGTCAGTGATGCAGAGCTGAAGGATGCTGGGCTGGAGCAGCAGTGAAAAAAATGCTGAGGAAAACAAAAAGTTATACACATCCTTCTAGAGCAGTGGTTCTCAACCTTCTAAATGCCGGGGTCCTTTAATACAGTTCCTCATGTTGTGGTGATCCCCAACCATAAATAAAATTATTTTTGCTGCTACTTCATAACTGTAACTTTGCTACTACTATGAATAGTAATGCCAACATCTGTGCTTTCTGATGGCTTTAGGCAGCCCTTATGAAATGGTTGGTCCACTACAAAGGGGTCATGACTTGCAGGTTGAGAACCACTGTTGTTGAATTAATGCAGAGATCTAGAGAGCACGCATTAGACTCAGTGATAGCCCTGTCTGACAGGGGAGAGGAAAATGATAGGAAATGACAGAG